TACTTGTAGTCCTGGCTACTCAAGAGGGTGAGGTAGAAGGATTGCTTGAGCCTACTTTTAGGCTGCAGGGAACTATGATCGCATTACTGTATTCCAGCCTGGGCAACACAGCAAGGCCCTGTCTCTAAAAACAGAAAAAACAATTAAAATGTAAAATTAAGCCACTAAATGAAAAGGAGTGAAGTTCCGATGCATGCTGCAACACGGATGAACCTTGAAAACACTGTGCCAAGTGAAACGAACCAGACACCAAAGGTCAAATATTGTATTATTCCACTTATGTATGATATCTAGCAAATTTGTCTAGACAGAAAAGTAGATGAGAGGTTACCAGGGTTTGGGAGGAGGAGAGAATAGGGGGTTATTGCTCAATGGGTACAGAGTTTCTGATCAGGGTGATAAAAAGTTGTGGAAATAGTGGTGATGATTGCGCAATATTGTGAATGTATTAATGCCTTCAAATTGTACACTTTAAAATGGTAAACCATTTTATGATGGCAAATTTTTTGTGTATATATATATATATTTTTACCACAAGCAAATGCAACAGTAAATTAATCTACCAAATTGGAATTAAACTATGGTTATATTGAGTTACTTTTTGAAGGTGAGGGTGAGAAGGGTTAGATAGGTCTGAACAGAATAACGTTTTGTAAGATATACAAATTATATTTCCCTAAAGGAGCCACCACGCTTTCTACCAAAGAGTATGCAGGATATTACAAGCATTCGTGAGGTAAGACATAAATTGCTGTTGCATTAGTTGCTTAGTTCTTCATATAATTTGACAGCCACACCCTTGTGGCCTGGAAATACTTAGACTGCCAACATTTAGGTGGTTATAATTATGACGGAGGTTTATTTAAACATCAGTGGTGGAGACTGTTTGCATTATAGAACATATAAATAGCTGTATTTCTCACCTCAGAGTGGGCTATTTTCCTCTCCTTAAACCTTGACTAGAGGGTGCCTCGGAAGGAATCCAGGTAATATCTAGGTTATATAATAAGAAAGAGAAGGCAGGATGCACACTTTATGTTTAACTCCTAATATTGAACTCTCTGAAATCAAGCCAATTCGGGATGCTGTTTGGACAATATTAAGTTGGTCATTATAGTCTACACTACCAGCAGACAGAAAGAATTATGTTTTAGTTCATTTGTAGTGTGGTGTCCATGTACAAGTACCCCTGACATAATTACAAGCCATACAGTTATCCCATTTTTGTCTTCACTTGAGGAGTACCTTCAGGTTACAGGATATTACCCCAGAGTGTTTAGAATTGTTACCGGTGGAAGGTGTCCAGGTTCTTGTCATCTTGAACAAAGAATTGGACAAAATGCACAAACAAAGCAAGGAAAGAATGAAGCAACAAGAGGAGAGATTTATTGAAAATGAAAATACACTACACAGGGCGGGAGCAGGCCAAGCATAGCGGCTCAAGATCCCAGTTACAGAATTTTCTGGGGTTTAAATACCCTCTAGAGGTTTCCCATTGGTTACTTGGTGTACACCCTATGTAAACAAAGCAGTGGCCCATAATGAGTCTTATTGGTTGCAGGAGGGGACCAGTCCGAGGCTGAAGTGAAGTCACAATGTTACATCCTATGCAAATATCTGATTGGTTGCAGAAAGTGACCAATCAGAGGCTAAAGTGAAGGTACAAAACTATACTCCTTTGCAAATGAAGACTTGGTCTGCAACCAGTAAGGAGTCCAATCAGAGGTACTTTATTTTTTAATTTTTTGAGATGGAATTTCACTCTGTCACCCAGGCTGGAGTGCGGTGGCATGGTCTTAGTTCACTGCAACCTCTAACTCCCCAGTTCAAGCTATTCTCCTGTCTCAGCCTCCTGAGTAGCTGGGATTACAGGCACCTGCCACTACACACTAATGTATGTATTTTTTAGTAGAGACAGACTTTCACCGTGTTGGCCAGTCTGGTCTTGAACTCCTGACCTCAAGTGATCCGCCTGCCTCGGCCTCCCAAAGTGCTGGGATTATAGGCATGAGCCACCGCGCCCGGCCAGAGGTACCTTCAATTTTTCATCTGCCAGGCAGAAAAATGGGGATGAGGGGTTGCAAAGAGAGTAGCCTCTGGTCCTTTTGTTACTTGGGTGTGGAAAGTTAGGGTTTTCCTTTTGAGTTAGTTCTTTCTAGGGAGTCAGCGTGAATTGGCCTTAGCTTCCCTGCCTCCAGACCCTATTCTCCTGCCTCAGAATGAATGAAGCCATTGCTTTCAGTGTTAAGACCTAGACACATGCAACAGGTAGTATCAGCAGGAGTTTGTATTGTAATAGGGTGTGCTGGGGTTTGTATGAGAGAGGGTTTCAATGATATTAATAACAAGAGCTAACTTCTGGGTAAAGGGGACGCAATTGAGATTTGAGAGTCTGGATTATAGATAGTACATTCTGATATTATCAGTAGCTTAGCTGTTTCAACTGGCTGAAATGAGTGAAGATATTGACATGAAATTAATCACTGTAAGCATTTACTGAGCACCTTCTATGTGGCAGATTTAATTCTGTAAAGGTTCTCTAATTGTTAGATTTCTAAGTCTCAAGGGAAGAGATAGTGAATATGTGTCAAAGTTTTATTTAAGGCAAGAAATGCAGACCTCCCAAAGTGAGAACAGAGACTATTCAGAGCTTGCTATAGCAATGGAGGCAGCGACCACACTTGAGTTTGGCAGAGACTCAAAAGCAATCGGAAAGAGGGGAGGCTTTATAGTGGAGGAAAAAAGGGATGCTTCTGATGTGTTCTGATTTAGGGTTGTTGGCAGAGAAGCTGGAGGTAATCTAACTTGAAGCAGGAAACTTAACAGGATTGGTTTGGGGGAGAATATTTGGCTTTCTCTGGCTGGTACTGGTGTCTGGGGACAGAGAGATTAAAATAGAAAAGTTGGCAGCCTTCTTGAGAAAATCCTGACCATTTTGAACTGATTGCTGTAGAGGTTGTGGTTTGGCTTATGTGAGTTAGAGTGTCATTATCATATGCAGTTTAGCCATTGTCCATATGTTTAAGTCTCTCACTCATTAATACGGGAGCCAGCAGAATCGTAAAATGGATTTCTACCAGTTCTGAAAAATGAAATTTATACAATTGTTGGGGAAAGGAATGCTGAAATACAACTGCTCAGTTGATACAAAACTGGTTAATTTTTCTTAGAACAATGCAACCTTAACCTTTGGAATTATATGCATATTTATACATATTTATATATATTTATAT